AAAGAAGGGCTGTAGATCAAGTTTCATTGCAGTTAGTTACCTAATCAATACAAACAGGACTAGGAATTAACGTAAGACTCCCGGGAGATTGTAATAATCACCCACAATTACTTATGAAAGCCAATCAATGACCAAAAGGTTTTATGTGTCATTTATATACCTTAAATCAAACTTGTGAAATTAAACTTTGATTCCTAACATGATTAGGTGTTGCAGCACTAAGTAAAACAACACACAAGTAAGCACTGCCTCAAAGGCTGACTGCCAAGGGCAACTGAGGATGGAGCCAGGAGAGCACGAGCAGCCCTGAAACACAACAGCAAGGGGAAGCACAACAGTAGAGCTCAGACAGTGGATATAGGAACAGGCATAAAAACACTGAAATAAGCACCTACAGCTATCTTTACTTCCTATTCCTTCAATGAAGCTGGCTACCTTCCAGTGGTCAAATGAAAGATAAAGACAGTAGAAGGCAAGGTTTCCAGACCTAGATCTTAACTGTGAGAGGTAAAGAGAAGAGAAAGAGAGAGGAAATTTCATTATTTCATCCTTGTTTCTCACTGGGGGAAAGTTTGCAGAACTTGGAGATTTACCGTTTCTGTCAAATTTATCACACAAAATACATGACGATGTGCGATGAACAAACTTAGTCTTGCTGTCAAGATGCCATGTGCCCCTCTGTAGCTTTGTTCTAGTATTACCATTATGTATTTACTACTACAATTTTTTTTTAGTATGCGCATAACATAGTCGAATAACTCTGCGAGCAGTGAGATCACAGTTCAATAAAAGTTGGAAACGCACAAGAGGCTATCAATTGTGCTATTTTTACTGAAGTCCATACCATGAACAATGACTCATAAGAGTAGCAAGCCAGAGAAGCACTTGCAAACCATACAGGCTTGTTTACTCATTTATTTGTTTGCACTGATTCCTTACATTCCTCAGTGTAAAATCTATGGGACTCAACAGAAAGCACGAGGGAGAAATTCTGTTTCCCAAACAGCTGTTCCACCCACCTTGCTTACACCCCTTTCATCCACTTCTGAGAACCAGAGGCCGGGCTTCCTGGAGAGCCCCTACATACCAATGGAGCACACTCCCTCTGGTGGCTCCACTCAGGCTCGCTTTATCAGCATCCACAGCAGGGTAGGTACCAAGAGCAATTATAACAGGGAAATTTTGTATTTGCTTGTTTTAAGTCATACATTAAAGCATTGCTTTTTTTTTTTCCCCCATAGTTGTCCTGAGACAACATTAACTTTTAGTGGGTCTGTGCAATTATTTTGGAGAGGTTTGGCAAAGTTCATCAGAGTTACATCAGTTACAAAAGCAAATTAGTTTTTCCATGTGATGCAGCAGCCTTATGGACCCAGAAAACTAAAACTATTAGAATAAGTATGAATAATAATTAATAATATCTGCTTCCCCTGTGAAACAGTTTTTATGGCATTAAAAAAATTGTCTGCCCAGGCCTAGCCACATTTTTCTTAGATCAGGAAGTCAAGGAAGTTGGTTTTCTCTGTGGCACTGATTGTCTTCTGTGTAGAGCAGGGCTGATGTTTTGATATTGCTGCCTTTGATTGCATTTCACTGTTCTGCCTTGAGATTTTTTTTATCCTGTCTAGCAGGTTGCTTAGAAGCCTAGGCAATATGTTCCCATGTCCGTATGTTGAAATCATAACAAACAAGACACTGGGAATATTTCCCATTTCTAATATATGGCTCATCTATCATAAAAGAGAAAATACTCTGTTGGTACTTTATCACATCATATGACAGGACAAAAACATTTAACTTTAAAAGTAAAATCTCAAACACCTAGAAGTAGGCAAGGGCATCTTAACCACGGTAGACTTGACTTTTCTTAAGGTTAGATTTGGGTTAAGATTGAATCTCATAGCTAGTATACAGAATGGTGGATAATTTTGCCAGGTACAATAACGTGAATAAGCACTGTTACTTAGATATCTGAAAATATTTGGGTATAAAAGCCAAAAACAGTGAAACAGTGCAATACTGGGTTGTAATCAATATTTTTTTTTTCTCAAGGTAAAGTGAAACTCATGAACATACTTGATTAAACATGTCATCTGTGAACAAATGAAAATGATGGCACTGAAAGATCAGTTAATAGCTCTATGATTTATATTTAAGAATGAATGATACTGAAAGAATTTGGGGAATACTTAGAAATATGGATAAGAGGAAATTACACAAAAGGCACAGGGATCAGGCTCAAAAAGAAGGTACAGCTGACATGTAGATGTGAATCTAGCTACTGATGCCCAAAGGCACAGGCAAGATGAAAGAGGTACTTTAGAGACTTGGTTTTGGAAAAGAAAACTGGGCAATACAGGGAGAGAGATGAGTGCAAGAAATAATTAGACACTTAGGAGTGTCACTTCTCTCCAAAACTGGCAGCTCTGCTTAAATATTACATATTCCCATCACACATTTATGAGCATTAAAAAGTGTAAGGAGTACAAAAGTCTGGCACCACAGACAGCAGGGAAAAACTATGCACCTGCAATTAAAAATCCCTATATTTCTAACTGATTTTATGGTAAAATCAGATGTGACATAAGACCAGTCTCCAGAAATACAGGATATCCAATATATAATAACCATAGATAGTAATACTCACTACTGCTAATTCATTTCAGCTTCCTTGCCTTGACTCTTGTCAAGTCCCCAGCGCAAAACTACCCATGTAAGGCAGATAGTTTCTTTTGTTCCAATCTTACTTTCTGCCTTACCACATTGTTCCTAAGACACCACATTATCTTTAAAACATGTATGAAATTGAAATCATGTCAGGTTCTGTTACTGTCCTAGAGACAACATTTTAATACCATGCTATTAGTTCTATATTTAATACTAAAATGGTAGCAGTACCTCTTCCGCAAAGTTAGTTTTCTTGTCAAGCATTTCTCGTAATGTCTGAAGAATTTTAATGCAGAGCTTTTCTTCTTTCTCCATTAGCTTCTTTGTGTGATTAATCAACCTTAAAGTAAAATATTAAACCTTAAAAAGCATTGCACATTGTTGCTAAGCCATACTACAATTTCTTTATGCAAAAATTGCCTGTCACTATATTTTTCCTCAAGGAAAGGAAATAAAAGTAGATGAGAGAAATCATAATTAAAAAGGAAATGGGACTTTCAAGGTGTTGTGAGTTTTTGGTGTCAATTTGCATATCTTACTGCCCGTACAGAAAGCAGAATTCTACATCCACTTTTTATAAGTGCATCCAGATTAAGATCCAAACTTGCTATTTTATCCTTTCTCTATTTAAAGGTAACCATGTATTTATTTTAAATTTTACTTAAAGGTAACCAGTGTTCCCCATGCATCTTGCGAGCTGTAAAAGCTACAACTTTTACACCTTCCAACCTTCATGATGGTTATATTTATTACATAATTAACACACGGCATCCAGCCAAAAAGATCCCCTAAAACCTTATGTGGAAGCATTCAGAAATGCAGATATTTGGATGAAACATAACTTGTTTATGTTTGCACAACTTTACAAGACCGTTTCAAGCCAGAAAACAAGGTACATTTCTGACTCCAACTAAGACCATGATGGGAGCTTGGGTTGAAGTCAGCTTAAGTCAACACCAGAAGGAGCCTTTCTGTCTCTGTGCAGAGCAGGTCCTTGCACTAGTTTGCCTCACTGCTGGAGAAATGTTTGTGAAAACAGAAGGAAGGAGGAAATCTGAAGGCCATGGACATGTTTTTTTCCATCAGTACTAGTGCTGGGTTGCAGTGGATAGAACAGCGTTCACTAAATTATAGCCTAGGATCAGACTACAGCAAAGGCACTGCAGCCACCGATTTACACTGAAATATGGCACCATTAATGGTCCTGAATCACAGTCACCAAAAACAGGGCTGGAAGGGCTGAGTGCATCATCTAGATCAAAGCTCCGTAACCCAACAGAACTGATTGTGTTTAGATCATTGCTAAGTTAGAATCATAGACTCAGTTAGGTTGGAAAAGACCTTTAAGATTGTCAAATGCAACTGTAAAGCTTAAACTGCCAAGTCCACCACTAAACCATGTTCCTATTTGCCATGTCTACACATCTTTTAAATACCTCCAGGTATTAGTGCACTAACAGTATCCTGGGCTCAGTGGAGACACCATGCAGGACTCTCCCACTGTCATCTTCACCAATTTCATGAGCTATGAGTGGAAAACAATGCAGCTCTCAGGCCTGCAGTACTAATAATATTTTGTGAGTAGTACATCTTGCAAATTCTGTATAGCTCTACAAAGCATTCCTTTGCCATGGAAGTTAATTTGATAAAACAGAAAACTGTTGATTGCATTACATGGGCCATATCCAGCAGCCCTAGACTTGATTTGAGCTGACTTTGAACAGGAGTTTGGACAGAGAGCATGGGATGAGACAAGCTCAAGGTTTAGCTTAGTTTCCCCAAACATATAAAGTATATTGTTATAACACTACCTCTGCAGAATATGCAAAAAGCCAAGGAATCAGGAGAGTTGCCAAATGCATTCATTTCCCCCAAGTTACCTCTGTTTAAATTATAGTTTCTCAAGGGCAGGGAGGGCATCTTACTTGAGGACTAATAAAAAAATTGCAAGACTTTATTCCAATGCACAGACTGCAAATAAAACATCTAATAATTCAAGACCAGGTAGGGGTGCCAGTGAAATTTATTTTTAAAAGAGCTGTTGGCAGTTTAAAATGAAAATCAAAGATTTATTTGCTGTACCAAAAAAAAACCCCAACAAAAAAATCACAGTAGCCCTGAGCCTAATTATGAATTCTTAAAATTTCTACCGTGGAAAGTCTAAATTTCTGCTCTAGATTTGGAGAAACTTAATAGCAAAATTAATTGCTATGAATTGCATTAAGAAAACAGAAGTAGGTTAAGCCTGACACAAAATAATGAGCTACCAACATCCCATTTCTAGGCAGATGAGGCAAGCAACCTCTCTCTCTACTCCTCTCCAGACTCCTTAACTGCTGAGAAACATAACACATGCAGCAAAAGACCTCAGTTTAAGCTTTCAGTATGAAGTCAGACACTGACATGCTTAAGTCACTGTTGAAAATCATATGTAAGTGCTGTTGAAAATTTTAAGTCCCTGCCATCTTTTCCAAAGAAGCAAATAGGCCTCTCCTTACACCACTTACTTGGACATGAAAGCACCACATCTTACTCTGGCATCACTCCCCTCAGGAAAAAGAAGTTCTGGACTGTGCAGCACATCAACCAGCACCGAGAATTCAGCTTGCATCATGGGAGTGAACTGCTGCTCCAAGGAGGACACTACGTCCTAGGGAAGAAGGAAGAAGAATGACATTCATAACTACAAGAAAACTGGAAGAACATTGCTGTGGAGTTGCAAAATATTGTGCAATGGGCTATTTGACTCACTACTGATAGCCCTTGTTTACTCAGGTGACAGTAAAGCAACCTCAAGCCTTTCTTCATGCCACTTCTCAAGCAGGGCAAGGGGGAGAAGGTGCCCATTACTATCTGTGGTTTTCTCTTTCAAATTTCTTCTCTGCAGTAATGGTCACAAAACACACAGCAACAGTCAGGATGATGGTGTGCTGGAAAAACACTGCTTGTCCTACGTAGTTAGTGTATCACCTGAGGTGTCGCTGCCTTGGTGTTTAGGGATCCTCCACTTGTCTGGGTCCTGCTGTTTTCTTCGTTCATAAACTCCTGATGTCATTTGACCACCACATGCACAAGGTGATCTCCATCTTATAGGCAATTTCCAGTGACACAAACCTGACATAATGGCTCCTACCTCCCCTCCAGTTACTTCCTCTGCAGCCAAAACAGGACATGTGGCCATGAAAAGGCAGAAAGGAGATCCTTCTCTGTGGACCAATTTGAGGAAAAGAACATACTTCCTACCCCTCTACTGCCTTCTGGAGGAGCTGAATTCAGATTACAGATCACAAGGCCCTGCATGTTGGCTTCACTTTGAACAGACAGCAGAGAGGAGCTGAGCTCTCTGCTTCTCCCACCTAGAAGTGCAAAGGCCACTGTAATCCAGCACTAAAAATGCAGTGAGTCTCTCTGTGGTGTTTTCCACATCTGGCACATATTAGACAAATGCACTACCACAGCTACTGCCCAAGCAATCTGCTATATTTGTACCTGTAGTTTTTCTATTATATTCCTGTAATCCCAGGCAGGCCCACCAAGAGCTTCTTTAAAACGAGGTCCACTGCGGGCTGACATTCTCCACCCCATGGCTGCCCTCTGCACCATGTTAGAGTGACTCTTCATGAACAAGGTGTTGACCTGGCTGTCCAAATCCACTGGAATTGCAATCCCACGGTTCTTTGCTTTAACGGGAAGGAAAAAAGAAGAAATTTATAGTAGCAAAAACTTGAAAATCTTACGAAGATCATGGCATGCGACATCCTGATAGTCTTGAAGTTAAGGGGCAGGGGATCTCAATTCAACAGGTTTTAAAAATAAGGATCAAAGCCTAAACTGGTAGAAATCAGTTGTAATCTAGTTAAGGAAAGAAAGCTGTACCACATTAAATGAGATTAGGATAATTTCTAGTATATATTTTCATTGTTACAGATGTTTATTTTTTAAAAACAGAATAATTTTTTGCTAACTTAAAAAAAAATCAGATCCAGAGATATTAAGTGTAAAAAAAGAGAATGCATTATTATTTCCACAGCTAGCTTTACTCTGTTCAGAAGTAAATTCAAAACCTCCTATTTCTAGCAGACATAGGCACATTTGGCCAATCTATCCCAAGTGCAATTTGTTGCTTTTCTGCGCCTTTCTTTTGCGAAGACCTTGAGAAACCAAGTGCATACAAATTAAATTTGAAAAAGACTGTCTCTTCTTTTCTCTCCCTTTGTTTTCCTATATAGCCAGGCTTGTTAAGCCATGGGGTTTCTGGATGCCACTGCAATATAGCCAATTGTTAATAAACGTGATAATTTAGCTGATAGTTTAAAAAAATAATTAACCAATGGTTAACAAATTAAAAAAGGTATCGATGCATCAATACCTCTATTTGAAAGATAAGTAACATAGCACTGATTAGGCTTTGTATTCTAAGTCATTTCACCTAATTTCCATGGCACAGTTTACGTTTAATAAAATCTTAGAAGTAAAATGGAGAAGCAGTTCTAGTTAATTTGTAATAACAAATAGTTTTTCCATTTTTGTTATTGAAACAGGGAAGATTTTTTAAAACTGTTAGCCCATACTACAGTTCTGCACAGCATTTCCCTGAGACATTTCCCCACTGTTTTGTGCTAACATGCACACTTTCCGCAGTAGCAGAAGGCCTCAAAAATACTCCACCCCTCCCTCCCAGTTCTTAAAACATACACAACTTCAAGTCCCAAACTTGTGAAGTCAACAGATGCCCTTTTTTGCTAAACTGCCTATGCATCAAACCCCACAGGAGTATGTGCAAGCAGGGCATCAGGCATACAGCTTTGATGAACAAGGGCTCGCGTGCTGCCAAGCACAGTGAGTCACGGATCTCAGGCAGAAACTTTCTCTTCCCTCAAATGCTATATTGTAACGGCAGCATTTATTGTAAACCTAAATTTGACTGTGACACCTCAACTCCCAATCTCACAGGCTATGGCAGGAGTGCTCTGTCACACATGTCCTCATCCCCTTAATAGCTCCTGCGGGTGCTGGGTACCCTCCTCTCTTCCCACTGCAAGGGTGCATCCTGATGCAGGACCAGGGCCTCCACCTGTGGATTAGGCTGTTTAACTGGGAAGGAAGAGAGAGCTCCTACTCTATTTCTGGTAGGCACTTTCTTTTAAATAGTTTGCCATAGGGAGTTAAAAAAAAAAAAATCTTAGGTCAAGACAGGAAGATTCATTTCCCCACAACCATACATGAATCCTCAGCAACAGATGTGCAGCAGTTTCCACACTGGCAGCTTATTTTTCCTTTCCACTCTCTATTTGTTTTGAAGGCAAGATTCCTGATTATCATGAGTAAAATACCTCGTACGGCTGGCCATTATTTCTAATGACTGTTTTTCCATATTATTTGACTGAGTTATTTTTCAAAACATATTTGCCCTGTTGCTGCTTACTTTATTATGGAAGTCCATTAAAGTTCTGCCAATGTGGGTAGGGTGCTGCAGCCTATTAATCCAATTTCTTGTGTCCTAATGTCAATCACTGGAATGTTATCGGACAATGCTCACTTCTCAATTAAGTGATATGTATGCAGAATCCTGATATATCCAGGAATAAATTTAGCAATGGGGAGCATGCTGTTCAGAGGAAAACCCAGACTTGTGCAGGCCTATAGATGCCATTTGAAGTTAACAACTTTCATCAGTGTCTGAGGAGCAGTCAAGGACTATGATTGTTCAAAGCATTGCAGCTAATTAAAACTATCACAAAGAAAACCAGAGGGAGAGAGAAAAAAAATACTCCTTTGTTTTGAACATTTCTTATATGTATAATTCCATTTGTAATTAAGATTTGTATTAGTTGTCAAAGGGCACTGTTGAAATCTAAGCTATAAACAAAGCCTTTGTCTTCTTACTTCTTTGCAGCTTGTAGAAAGTTTATCTTTCATTTGTTTCACATTCCATTATTTAAAACAACATGAAACATATTTTTACATTTTGGAAAGCTGATGAACAAATGTGAACATAAATATTTATTTTTAATTTAGGTGTTGTAGGCTGCTTTCCTCTTCAAAATGTGTCAATCTCCCTTAAAGTATGAACATAAATATTTAAAAGCATGTTTATTTTTGTTCCACTTAGAAATACTTTTGGACAGCAATCAAACTTGCAAAGTAGGGTTAGAGCTGGTAGACAAAGGAGCCAGGATGGGGTAAAATCTAGTCTTTGATCTGACTAGTGAGCTTGAAGGGAAAAAGTATGCTACTCGGCTGTATGCAACCTGGTACCATAGGTATCTAGCAGGATACTTACCATGCTGGACTACTACATGCCTTCAGCTAAGGTAAATTCTGCCTTACAGCGGAGGGCACAGCACAGGCTCATGTATTGCCTAGTTCCTACCTAGGGCACCTGCACAGGCCTAATTACACCCCAAACACACTACACTGTTTTGCCAATGTCAGAAGAAACTTGATTTGCTGGGAAATCCTTTGCATGACTGACTCTCAATCTGCTGCTCACAATTAAGCTATCAGCAATAGCTACAGCTGAGCCAAACCAAGCAAACGGTATCCATCTAAATGATAAGCAACATGGTATCGTGGATTCAGCCAGGTCACAGTAAAATGCTCTGCTCTGCACTGTATGGTTCTGTGCATATCCAGTGCATCAGCAGCTTTCCTCTCCTTTACTGTTTAAACTACGAAAAAAGAACTCTGAGATAGGGACTTAAATGAAAAGGGCAACATTAATGTCGAGAATCAAGTAGCTAAAAATCAAGCCACTCTTTACAAGTGAGCAGGACTTCACTGAAGTCACAGGAGCATAATCCAGCTGCTAACAGAAAGACTGAAATGGACTGAGATGTATTTTGTTAAATTACCTGCATGTAGTTCTCTTCACAGAAGCACGGAAATTGAAAGTAAAAGGACCTATTTCAGGAATGCTTGCTGAAGCACTGTCCTTTCACTATTCCGCCTACCTGAGTCTTAGGATCAATTTAATACTAAGGATTTCCAGGAAGTGGCCCTTGCCTGTAATTTTCCTTGGAAGACTGCTCTTCAGAGTAATCTACCTTGCCATAAAGGGCCTTGCCATTCTCCCTGATATTTCCACCTAGTGCTCCCTAATTTTAAAATTCACTCCATTAGCTTTGCAATATATACAAAATACAACAGTATTTAGCAGCTTCACAGCTATTTAGTACACTTTGCACTCCCCTAAACCATCCCTGGTGTGGGTTTTCTGGGGGAGACGGAGGCATTTCGCCCCTCAAAGCATCTCAAGGAGAAGTGTGACAGGCAATGTGGGTCACAAAAATGCCATAGCTGTACCTGCCTGTGTGCTTTACTCTCCTTGCTGTTTACGCCCCTCTGGTAGTCGCAGACAGCTATATCATGTTCTCCCACACTTCCCAGTTGTCACTTAACGGAGCGATGCATATTTAGTTCAATTAATTTTGCTCCATAAATCAGTCCCTCCAGCTCCTTAATCATTTACTGACTGCTTAACAAATGCATTTGGATGGAGAGACAGTAACGCTAGCAACGGCAAGACTTTTTAAAGGAAATAAAAGCTTTGTGTAGACAAGACACAAGCCTGCCAATCTTGTACCTTTCACTTGGATGTTTTTTCCAACAGAAAATCTACGCTAAAATATTTATCAGTCTGTAAAAAGATCATCATTGAATTTTTCTTGCAATTAGGGAAACACAAACAGTTAAAATAGAATAAAATATGTGCTTCATCTGAAATGTATTCTTCTTGCTGTCAAAAAAGTAACAACAGGATAATTATTTTATTTGAACTAAAAATTGAAAATGAAGGTCTAGCTTTTTATAAATAGAAAAAAAGATTTTAAAACTCAAATGGGAAGTGAAATTAAGTATTTTCAGGGCTGAAAAAATTGTTAAAGGGAAGTTCATCTACATGGACATTAAAATATGCACAGTAACTCCAAAGAAGCAATAAAACATAACCTAGATTTTATGTTTAATGCTTCCTGTTTGTAATTTGTGAGGTAAAAGGAAAGGGCTTTAGAAGACATAAAAGCATGGTCAAGAAGCACCACAGGAGAGTTTTTTTGATTCTGTACAAAGAGGTATTGGTGAGCTGAAACTGGGGAATAAATATACAAGTAGAAAAGACTTCACCACATCTTCATGTGGCTCTCTATTACAGACAACCTATGCTCTTTAATATTTTTTGAAAAATTCATCAAGCCCCATTTAAAATGAAGCTGGCTTTTCTGCCATCCATCCTCTCTCCATTTTCTCTTGGCCCACTGACCAAGGACAACCTTCCAAAGTTGGTTCCAAACCTCTGATTTACAGTCTACATTTATTTAGGTTATTTACAACCCGGCATAATTTATGTCCAGTTGTTTTTGGGTCAGCACTGTCCATCAGCTTAAATGTCTCTTCTTTGTGACTATTTATCTTCCTAAGTACTTTTAAGGAGAAACAACACAGCCCTTTGTTTTGCTAGGCAAAAAACCATGGGGTTCTTGTAGTCTCTTCTTGTAATACAGTTCTCCTTTCCCCTGACCATCACAGTAATACTTCCTCTGTTCCTGTTCCTGTTGTGAACTTATGAAATAGCGATCTTACAGGACTCGCTTCCAATTTTGCAGGATGGAAACAAGGACTGTCCTTTTGCTTCTCCTGCACAGCATCCTAAAGTATAATCTGGTAATGACTAATATAATTTGGCTTGCTAACAGATTTTTTTAAAGTGTCTGCCAAGAGGAGTAGTCTAACAAAATGCAGGTTTCTATCTGCCACTCTTTACTCACCTGGGAAATTCCAGTTATTTCATTATTGGTGGTAATAGCACAGTCATGCACATAATACATCCTTGGGATACCCACGTGGTATCAGAGGGAAGATGGAAAAATGTAAAATCATAAGGGAGAAAGCTAATGAAAACTACAGAGACGAGAGTGTAACACAGCTAGATTTGACCTTGTGACAGAAAACTAATGCTTGGGGGTGAAGATATAGAAATCATCACTTAATTAAGAAGCAAAGGCAGGCCTTTGCATGGGTCCTGAAAGACTGGTCAGTGGTGGGAGAAAGACCCTGCTTCAGTACAATTTAAGATATACAATCCAGATCTTCAGTTGTGAGGACAAGTGACATTCCCTAATTTACAATATGGAAAGACAGCAGATGGTTTAAAATACAAAAGTCGAGACTGGCCCTCCACCCTTCTCAATCTTGCAAAGATTATAAAATGTAGGAACTGAACACTATCCTTTGATAATGAATTCATTTGAAATAAATTAAACTGTTAGGCATCTTAGTTCCTCTGTTTTCACAAAGATCAGGGGACTTTTAAAACATTTTTTATTTGTAGCTATTTTACCAGTGAGATGAAAGCTGTTCTGATCATTCATTTTTTGGACTATATTTCAAGCAAAAGCTCAGTCCTATGTAATAATAGAAAGCAAAAGTGATATATGTACAATGTGTCAATTCTTGTTACTGTGATCATATGACCAAGCCACATTAATATACACATAGTATTCCCTGATTCTATTTATGCCAGGTAGCCAAATGTTTACTGGGGAAGAAAAACCTCAATGTACATTGTGTTCCAAACCTCTTGCAGTCACAGAGGGGTCTGCTGAAGAAGAGAAGCAAGCC